TTTTTGGCAAAGGCAGGCCCAGTCATTTTGAAGATACTGAGCTAAATATGTAAAAATGGCAATTTTTGAGAGAACTAAGCGTCCGATTTAAATGATTCAAAGAACTTTCTGCTTGTCTCAACAAAAAAATTGATTTTGGAAAAAAAATTTTGTTCCAATTTTTTTTTTTTTTTTTTTTTTTTTTTTAATTTAGTTTTTGTATATCGAAAATATTTCAGATTTTATTTTTAATTTTGACTATAGTTCTAATATACTTTACAAATATTTCAACTCTGCAATTCAGTTTATATAATTCTTATAAATATTAGACAATGTACAATATTTATAATAATCTATTCGAAAACATTCAGTATTCCACGAACATTTCGTTACGGTACGGGAAGTTCCAGCAATTTGCCTTAAGGCACGATGCCATAATTGCCTCAAGACAGAATTCCACTTACAGCTAGTTTACTTATACGTTGAAAATGATTTTATTACAAGATAAATGTATTAAAAATATTTTTTAATTGTATCCTATAACATTGAAAACGTTTACTAGCGATAAAACAGCTCTCAATATCCACTCATTTATTAAGGGATCGCAACTTCCCAAGGGGGTGGTGGCGGAACCCCAATTTGTTTTCAGTTTTAACTTGAGGTTAAGATCAACCTAATAAAAAAGTAAAGTAAAAAAATTCAGAGGTTATACCCCTTTTTCTCCCCGTTTACTGCACTAATTGTCTTTATCTTACCTGCATAAATAGCAGTGGAGTTGTGCGTTGGATCATAAGGGCATACTCCTATGCCTTCGATTGTTCGTGTAACTTAGAAGCTTGTGCTTCACTGCTGGCAGTAATATTTGTTTGTGGCAAATTATTAGTATTGATCCCAGAATTGATACCATTGTTGTTCAGGTTGCGATACCTTCTGCACAAGGGCTTGAATGAGTTTGTGCCACAGACCAGGAGGGCGTTGGACGTATCTAGGGCTCCTGAAAATGTCGAAAATAGAGTTCATTAAAAATAGTCTTTCATGGAGTCTTAATTAGTAAAATAACGTCCTTAGTATTTTATCCCTACCGATTCGTATGTAGTTCTGACAATCTATTTCTGATTTTCCTTTCAAATAGCAAAGTTCTCTATGTGCACCGCTACTAGGCCATTCTATACGCTGAAAATTTAAATTAAATAAAATTAATTACAATACACGATTTTAATTACCTTGTGGATAATTAAATTTATGGAAAAACATTATGCATACCTGATTTTTGTTCTCTATTAGATCAGGAAGACTTAGATTGTACACTGCGTTTCTGGAAAAGAAAAGATAAGGATTAATTTTCTTTCGAATCATGGCAATTGCAAATATATTCCTTAATAATATAAAAGTGCCATTATAATTATTTTTATATTTAATTTATTTACTTTTATAATTGGTTTTTCAAACGTCAAAGTTTTCTCTGATCTTTTAAACGAAATATTGATATTAATACCTCAATTACTTAATTTTTATTTCAAAATTATAGCAATTGCAATATATTTATTAATAATACAGACGTACTATTTTATTTATTTCTATTTTTATTTCATTTCTGCAATTATTTTATTTATTCAAATTTAAATTTTCGAACGTCAAAAATTTCTCTAATTCTGAAAGGTTAACCAACATGAAGAATTTTTGATAATTACTCAATATTCAATTATTTTTATATCGAAATTACAATTGCATTTTGTTTATTAATAAGACAAAAGTTCTATTTAATTCATTTGCATATTCTATTTGTTAATACTTATTTTGTTTATTTATATTTTTTTTATCAAATGTCAAAAATATCTCTCACTTTGAATGGCTGACCAACGTGAAGTTATTTTTAAATAATTAGTCAATTATTATTAATCATTAAGTATTATTATATTAATTATTTTTAATACTTCAAATTAAAGCAATTGCAATATAAAAATAGATTCATTTATAATATGTGTCACTTTATTCATTTTATATATATTTATATTTCTTTTCCTAAATATCAAAATTTCCTCCTTTTTTTTAAAAAAATTGGCTAACTTCACTATTATCTAACGAACAATTCCTCCTTTCTCTCGGCATCTAATTATTGTTTTTTGCTAGACTAAACTTAAGTTTTACGACATCTTAATAAATAAATAGGCAGAGTATAAACTACTTGAAATCTATTTCAATTCAAATTTAATGTCTGCCATAAAAGTGTTCCCGTGAAAAAAAGGGACTGGTATTTGTAATGGAGGAGCTTTGAAAGGAATGAGTAATAGACTTTTAATTCTATGTGTGGATTATAGAAATTTAAAGACAGTAGTAATGGAATGTACAATGGTAATGGAATTTTATTTTATAAAGTTGTAATTGTTTATGTTGTTTTATAGCATTTTTTTAAAACTAAGACTTCGAAGCAAATAAAATGGCAGTTAAACAAATATGGCGGATTTGGCTGTCGGTATAAATGTCAAATAGTCTTAAAAAATATTGTAAAAAATAACTACAAGTCATGAAAAACTTGTCTCTTTATTAACTAATTTGATTAAATGAGTATAAAGTTTAATTCATTAACTAATTTCTCTAATTTCACATTCTTTTATGATTTCTCTATTTTTGGGAAATTTCTGTGTCAGGTAAACAAAGATTTTCTCTATTTCTGGCAAATTTATTAACAATATAATTTAAATACGTAGTATGCATATTATAGGCTAAAAAACAAAATAAATTGTTAAATTATTCATTATTTTGCTGCACTTTTTAAAATCTTTAATAACAAAGACAGTTAAACAAATATGGCGGAGTTGGTGGTCCGTATAAATGTCAAAAGTGTTAAAAAATATTGTAAAAAATAACTACAAGTCGTCAAAAATTTGTCTCTTTATTAACTAATTTGATAAAATGAGTATAAAGTTTAATTCATTAACTAATTTCTTTAATTTCACATTCTTTTATGATTTCTCTATTTTTGGCAAATTTCTGTGGCAGATAAACAAAGATGGCGAATTCAGTTGCCGCCATAAATATTCAAATAGTACGAAAAATATGTGTATAAAAAACTCATATGAAACGTCGATGTTGTTTTAGCCATATATTAACAACTATATTTTACATAATAATAAAGAATAAAATTAAAAGCTCAAAATGGCGGGTCAAAAATGCCCCTATCAGATTTTGGTTATTTGTAAAAGCACACCGTTAGATGGCGACATAATCAATTATATTTTATCCAATATCAAAAATTGTTCGACAACGTGTCGTTTTATAATTTTTTGTGTAGTTTTATAAATCTTCTCTCAATTATCGAACAGTTTTTTTCGAAATGCATCTGGTCCCTCGTTTTACCAGGCAATAGTCCGACATGTGTTGTTAAAGGTTATTTCCGTCCGCTCAAGTGTTTTGTTTCGCTAAATGCTCCCGTTCTTTCTTCTCATAAACAGTTCCGAGAGTAGAATTATTATTATTTTAATTTTAGATTAAAAATATTCTGTTCGCGGCTAACACGTGCCCCCCATGTGTATACAACATCGAAAGTTAAATAAACATAAACATTACTACGTACGAGAATTTAATATCGATTTTATATTTAACGCAACTCTTAAAATAATATCGGTTTCCGGAGAGAGACTCATTAAACCGCACCTGGGTAATGGACAGAGGCACATGTAATTCTTATTCTCAAATATTTCAACAATCTATTACCATCTTCTAATAGAGTCACACCAGACAATTTACAATAGTGCTGCTGGTAGTACAAGTATAAATAATATGAATGGATGCAGAGAGAATTGGCCCGCTTTGATTTCAATTGAATTAAACTCTTCAAATAGAATTAGCCGCAACAATTGCCATTCCGATGGGCTTAAATGGTTGTCGTACACTCGCAACTGGCGAACGAGGGGGGCCCCCTAACATAAGACTTTAAAAGCTTCCTCTTATTGTCGCACTAAGAATCATGTGACACAGATACAGAAAATTTTATATTCTATTAAATTCTATATTCTATTTCCTTACCTTGCTCCAACTAATATCGAGTCCTGCGTCTCGTGCTGCAGGAGTTTAAAATACTGCTTCGTGTCTTTATCATTTAAATTATTATTATAACTTAAAGTACTTCCCAAAAACTGTGGGACATTTGTTAAATCTGCATATTTGAAAAACTTCCTGGCCTGAGGCTCCTGCACCCAACCCTCCACAATCTGGTTCACCAGCAAATAATTAACCAGGAAAAATATAAAATAGCTTTTGGATATCTTGTGTCGATTTTTATCTTCTGTGTCGACTTTTGTAGAATCCATTATGGTTAAATAATTTACTTATTTATTTAAGTTTGCTTGGTTAATGTTTACAGCAACATTTTTGTTGGGTTAAGGTCACTTTAGGGATGATAAGGTTTTTGTGGAATTTGTGTGAATTTTAAGGCTTCTGATTATTGTTTCTTGGGCACTTGTCCTGGACCTCTGCATTTTTTTCTTTATGTCTGGAAAAGAAAGAAAAATTGTTGCAATTACTTATTTAATTCTAACAACTTTAAATATATAAATAATTTTATTTCTATATAAATTATCTCTCAGACATTTTGTGATGATATACAAAAATATGAGAAATCAATGAAAATTCAGAATGACTTGAAATGTCGACTTTCTGGCTAAAACATAAATGTAATAATTCTAATAGAAAAATCTCAAAAATATTATTAACTGCACGAAGTAAAAATTTGTTACATTTGAGTGCGTTTGAATGTTTCGACAATGTTTTTAAAAAATTTCAAAATCTGTATTGAAAAATTTGTTTCGAAAGATATCATTTGGGTATTTGCGCTGATGATTTTTAGTACAAATCGGCCGAGCCGTTTCTTCGTGATTGATCGTTGATAATTTTATTTTGGACATTTTTCATTATTAAACAAGTGTTCTAAAATATTATAGTCCTTTGATTTATGACATTATTGACATTTATTAATATATATTATATCAATCTATTTTTCTGATACTATTTAGAAAAAGCTGTTAGCATTATTAATATTCAATCCAGATAAATTATCTAGATAATTCATCTTTTTATTTTAGCGACGTTCAGTTACGAAGTATGAAAAACAAAGTAAAATCTTTAGAAAGTTTTCCTGTTCGACGACTAATTATTTATTAAATATTATTTTATAAATGTCAACGATGTTGTTAAGCAACATCGGCGTTAAAAAAAAAGTTTGTTCCACATGCCGATGGCGGATTTGCTAGTTTTACATAAATATTTAAATATTATATTAAATAAATAAATTTATATTCGTAATTAATAGATTTATATTCTGGCAATTAGGTAAAATTGAAAAAAATGGGTCTTTTACTAAAACCTAAAAATTTGATCAAACTTCTAACAAACTAGTTGAAACCTAATTGGTTAAAAAAATAAGAGAGATAGATAGAGGATATGTTTGGTATGAGTGAGCGAGACAGATAGTGACAGAGTAAAATGAGTTAACAAAATGGGTGTACTTGAGAATTTTATTTCTTACTCGTTTTTTAGTATAAAATTAATTTGTGAATTGTGATTTGCTTTAAAAAATCGCATTTTTTATTGATGTTACCGATTATTAGACTTTTTAATTCTATTTACTACTTGCCAGTAGACAGTGTATCTAAGTTTGTTGTTGAATAGAATATTTTATTAATTTCCGAGTACATATTAGTATCGAATTTAATGAGAATTTTGTTCTCATTAACATTTTCTCATGAATCATCATTGATCAATAAATTCGTGAACTATTTTCAATATTTCTTAGAATCGTTTATACACGGTTGTAAATGATTCACTCTAAATTATATATATAAAGTTGTAGATTTATTTCTAATGATTAAGTAATATTTCGAAAATCCCATATTAGTCAACTGGAATACATTCTTTTGAATTGACACCAAATATGAAAATAATATCATTGCAACATTGATGCACGACAATGGAAATATTTGCTTTTTTTCATTCAATAATATACATTTTTTCCAAAATTTGGAAATAACCAAAATTTTGTTCTTCCTTTTAATTTTATCTACCCTTTTCTTTCACATATTTAGATAATGAAATATATACTTTTTTATAAAATCATTTAAATAATTTGAATCATCTTGTTTTTTTCTTGAACAATTGTTTCCCAACCCAAATAAATAATATGGTCATAGTCCTCGTCTTTATTAGCTTTGATTGGTCGCCTTAATAATCATAATTAAATTTTTGTCTATATAAATAAAAAGAATGTAAAACTCCAATATTGAAACCAACAAAATTTCTTATACCTCTCTATCATTTATTACCGATAGTAATAATTTGTAATAGGTACGTATATAATTTTCGAATACATCATTCAATTACTCAAAAAGCAATTTGACCTAAAATCACGCACTGTTACCGCTTCGGGCCAACAAAGTACATATTAACACACATACACACGAGGAAATAAATAAATAAATATCGATATAACATTAGCGTTACCTGCTTGCCCACTAATTATCGATACATTCATAATGGTCTTTTTATTTCCTAACTTTTCGGCATTCTCTATAAAAAACGAACAGTAAAAGATGTGTGAACAGTTAAAATTGCCATGTGCATTATAATAAATAAATAAATACATATATATGTATGTATATTATTGTGACTCCAATACTAGTTCAGCTGGATAGAGTTAGATCGATTGGATTGGATTGGAATCTGGTCGGAATCCAAGCCACTTGATTAACTTAACGGTGTTTAAGGAATTTTCATATGCAATGCGTGTACATGTACATACATACATGTGAGCTTTAACTTTAACGGGCAACAGGTGCCTATTTATACATACTAATATACACATGTAAATATATAGATAATTCACTAAACTAATGTAGTATGTAATTGCAATTTAAACAGAATCTATAAAATTTGTAATGCCACAAAAGGCTGCTCCAAAGTAGTCGAAAATTAGCTGATAATTGATTGAAATTTAGTTCACATAGTTAGATATATTGTTGAAGGTACCTATTATAAATTATTACTATCAGTAATAAATGACAGAGGTATATACAATTTTGTTGGCTTCAATATTGTTTTTTTTTACATTCTTTTTATTTATATAGTCAATAATTTAATTGATGATTAGGGCGATCAATCAAAGCTAATAACGACGAGGGCTATGGCCACATTATTTATGTGAGTTGGGAAAAATTATTCAAGGAAAAACAAGATGATTCAAATTATTTAAATGATTTTATAAACAAGTATATATGTAATTATACAAATATATGGAAGAAAGACATAAACTAGTGGTGTATGGCATCGTGCCTTAAGGCAAATTGCTGGAACTTCTCGTACCGTAAAATATTCGAGAAATTTTAAACGTTTTCAAATATATTATTACAAATACTGAAACTTTCATTATTGTAAATCATAAATCAATTTATCTTCAGAACATTAACAATCGTCATTTCATTTCGAATTCAATTTCAAAAAAAAATAGTTGCATTAAATAGTTACACAAAATTGAAAAAGTACTCCCGTATAGTCACAGTCTAAACGTTTGGTAGATATGAATAATATCCAAGGAACAAACATAAAAATATTACTAATAGAAAAATCAATCCCTTGGCTAGAATTGATATTACAAATGTCACCCCCATCTGGCTTATGTCAGAAACAGAACGTCGACAACATTTAAGATAACGACCCGATAATGCGCCCCCATTCCCATATCATATCTTTACGTTTAACGTTTATTTACAAGAGTTCCTTCACTATCGAGGGGTCGAAGAAAAGGGTTCCTTTGTACAAACAGTCAGATGTACGTATATGCCATGTGACCCATCTCAAGTACTTTTGCCTTTGCCCTTTTCCCAAGAACATCTGCCCCCGCAAAAAGGGTGACATATATCTATATTATGTGATGATTGACCGAAATTGGTGATACTTATGATAGTATCGATTTCAATATTAAGAGGTTTATAGAAATGTGTTAAAATTAGATTTTGCACTCTAGACATATGTGAAGACATTTGTGAATATTCAATTAATATGCAGCAGATGCATCAAATCATTAATTTTAATACAATTTCATTATTTGATTTTATTAATAAAATCAATTGATTGTGCATGGGATAATATATCTTATATATAATATATTATATGAATAGACATTGATCGATAAGAAAGTTTAAATTTCAAATATGCAAAAGTTACTATTTTCTGAAGAAATTAATTATAAATTATATTTTAGCGCAAATAAAAGCTGAACAAGTTGTATATCGAATAATTTGCATTAATTATGTGTATCTTAAACTTGTATAACTTATAAAGTATTAAGAAAATATATTCTAAATTTTACTTAGTTTCTTCTTTGTAATAATGCGATGGAAGTCTATAGAAAAGCTCTCTTGTTTACTAAATATATTCAAATAAGTATATTGTTGTTTTGATAAACTACATTTTTTATTACTCCTTTATTTGTTTTGATGTTTTGAAAACATCTTAAATTTAAATATTCATATCACGCTTAGTTTTATATGCACCTTTTGCGTCTAGAATATTATATATAAATAAATATATATGTATATGTATATAGTTAGTAAATGATAAAATTTAAAACCAATTTTATTTATTTATTTCAGAAAATGTTTGGTTACTTTGGTCCATGGGATGGGAGACTTCTGGACATCTACAATGTGAGTGAAAATATATTTTTTTAATTTATGTATATATATATATATATATACATATGATTTATAAGTGATTATTTATTTATGTTTAAATATCATTTAATTTATCATTCAAGAACATTCGGAAAAACTACAAAGATACCTGTAGAGCAATCTTAAATATTCTAAAAAAATTGAAAAAAGTTTAAAAGATTCATAGATATTTTATGGTCGATATTTTACAATAATTTCATCAATTTTACCCTAAAAAGCAAAAAAAACTTAAAAAAAAAATAGTCGAACGCCTTACCTGGTAGTAACAATTTTTAAAAATAAATATCAGAAATATCTCGACCCTCGAAAACAAATTGTTACTTTTTCTTACAATCATATTTATTCTAATTTTTTCAATAATTTCATCTACTCTCCACAAAAACCAAAAAAAATCTAACAAAAAAATGAGAAAAGGCCCTTCTGGTGAAATAAATCAGTTTTTCGACTCCAAAAACCAGTTTATGCACATTTAAATAGTTGAAAAATAATATTTTTTGTTTATTTCTTACATTACTAGAGTATTGGACAAAATACTATATTGAAAATGACGCTTTCCCCAAATTCCCTTTGGGTCTATAGTTTCTTCGTCAAAGTTTCTTTCAAAATCGCTAGATAAATCGTAAATGAAGTCTGGAGATCCAGAACCAAATTATTCTCAAAATCTTAGAATATTAAATAATCGTCGATTTTTTTTAACAATTTCATGCCCAAAAGAAAGTTTTTCACCAAAGTCTCTTAAAATGAAAAAATGACTAAAAAGAGTAAAAAAATTGGACCCATTTTGAGCTTCTTTCATTCATTGAGTATACCAATATTTGTGTAATTTTTATCATACAATTAATTGCAAATTAGTTAAATTCTCTTTCAATAAACCATTTAACAAATAACAAAATAACTCTAATAGTATGTGGGAGAATCCAATATTTAACTGCCAAGAATTTTTGCGAGTCTGTTTGTTTTTGTACTTAGTAGACCATTAGGCAACTTCGTTATCGTATATATATATATATATATTATAATATATATATAATATTTATTTATTTATATTTACAACCGTAAATTCGCAATTAGTGTCAACGTAATAATTTCTGAAATGACTTCCGATGCACGATTCGGTAATATCTGTCTGCGTACTTTCACAAATAACTGTCTGTAACTTATCATAAGATTACTGTAAATTTTAATAATATCTTATAGTTAAATAATAACTACAGAGAAAAATACTGTAATTTCCATATGATAAAAAAACATTTTTTAATGACTTTATTTTTGGGAAACAATAAAAACGACGATTCATGTGCATGTGAAAGCAAAAACTTCTGAGAAAATTAACATGAGGTAAATATGTCACCGAGAATCATTTTCGCGTTAAAAATGCAAATTTAACCTTGTAATAATTACAATTTTGAAAGACTGTGACACACGGGATTCCTTGTATCGCAATTTTCAATCAATCGATATTAATTATGACCTCTTTCTGTAATTATAAACGCATTTATTTATGTTATTAATAAATAATCCAGTCGCCATTATCGTGAATCACTACTAATGTGTTATTGATAATTATTAGTGATTGTATGTGATAATTTATACGTAATTATCGATAATTGTTGTTTGAGATCGTAAGGAATTGTAGCAATTACGTAATATGTTATTTTAATGATTTAAACAAGTAAATAATTCTCACAAATTCTCTATTACCCCAATTGTTCGGTTACCATGACAACGGCACCACTGTTTTATATCAAGATTGAACACCTGTGATTTTCATTTTAATAGTCGGTAATGCGTTTATGTAATCGTAATTATTATTTCGATGGCGTCCAACATGTTAATCTGATCGGGATAAGTCGATTTATATGGGAGGCGATGCTTTTGACTTGTAACCATTGAATATTGCACGACGCATACGAAACATGTGTTGGACACTGTCGGACAACCTGTACGTGCATTGGATTTAATAAGTAATAAGGAAAAGAATGGATAAATAGTTATTCAAAATGTACATGATGAATTTACTACAAGATTATATTTAAATTATTTTTTGCCATGCAATCTATGCTAACTTCACACCTAAAACTTGCTACCTTAGTAGCGGCCATTTTGAATTTGAATCGTTCAAATGTCAAAATTAATATGCAAGTAAAAGAATAAATATAATAATAAGAAAAAAACAAATATATAGTTATTAAAAATATGCGTCATTTTTAAATCTTTCTTCATATACTAAAATGCATTTATGTCTTCGAATAAAAACTATTTTTTATTTTGTACTGCGGTAACACTACAATGTTTACTTCGAACCTGAAACTGTCACAACCTCATACCGTTGTAACCGCCATTTTGCATTGTGAATCGTTTTAAATATCAAAATTAATATACAAATAAAATAATTTCGTAAATAGTTATTCAAAATGTGCTTAATTTCGTCTTTATATGTTACAATGTCTACAATATCACATTTGATTTTTATTTCATTGATAAAATCAAAAAACTATTATTAACATTACTGGAACTGTCAAAACGTTTGTAACCGCCATTTTACATTGTAAACCGTTTTAAATGTCAAAATTAATAGATAAGCAAAATAATAAAGAAATTTCGTAAATAGTTATTTAAAACGTTTGCGTTTTAAATGTCAAAATTAATATATAATTACGTTGCACAATTAATATATAACAATTACTAGTTAAATACTACTAATTTGTGTTTAATTTGCAAGCTTATTAAAATGAAGAAACTTTTCTAATCACTATTTAAATCTAATAATAAGTGCTTTAATTTAATCCCTGTAGTGCGTAACATTATGAATACGTTTTAAAACATATAAATACACCTATTATTTATTGTGAAATAG